TTATCTTAGGAATATGATAAATAATAAAAACCTCAGTTTACCGAATATATTTAAATAATTTAGCTCTTAAAAATAAATTAATTAATTAAAAATTTTAATAATTATATTATTGTCTTTCTTAATGAATGGGGGTAATAAAATGAATTATCAAAAACTAAAAAAAATAAACTGGTACTAAGCAAGGCAAGGATCCTGCCCCATCCTATCCAGCACCGCCTTAAACGGATAACGGGGTAGAGGCGAAGAAAGTTTCCCTTACTCGAACCCGCGCCATTGCTATCCTTAGCAAAATACCTTAATTCATTGGAAATGATTATTTTAATATTGGATATTGATTCCAGATCTTGAATCTTGATTATTGGCTCTTTTGGTTCTTGAGCTCTTGATCTTGATTTAAGGTTTTGATCATCTTCTTTAATATATTTTCTCTTGTATTCTTGTATTGATGTGATAACATAAAGAATGAGAAGTTACATATGAATTAGGGATTATAACTCTATATATAATTTACATATGTATCTCGATCAACATGAAGTACAATTCTAAAGGATTTTGTCTCTACAAATAATTCTATCCACATTTTATTTAGGTGTTCTAAGCTCAATTACTTAATTCTTTATTAAATCATTTTAATATTGAGTTTAACTTTAAGATAGCCTTTATACACAATTAATTACATGCGTAAACCCACATAACAAATTAATAATTGTGAAAATTACATAGATGCCTACCGTTAAATATTGCATTTCAAAAATCAGAAATATAATTTATATATGCAAAAATCAGGTGATAATATAATTTTTAATATTAAATAATAATATTTTACAATTCAATTAATTATATACCCATACCCTAAACCCTAATATCCATTTCCTTCCCCATTTTCAACCCATTCTCTCTCTACTCTCCTTCTTTCTAACTCGATATCGCCACCGAATGTTGGAGCAAAGCTATGCGAGGCTGACCACCATCGTTGACAGCGATCTGCGAGCCTATCTTCTACACTGCAGATCGAACGGTGTGTCGCTACTACAACAACTTCATCTCTGCAAATCTGTATTGTTCACAGTTGTTGCGACACACCGTATGGTGGTACGCTGTAACGGTGTTAATAGTGGGGGATAAATCTGTGGGGTGGTAGAAATGGGAGACTGTTGGTGGTGTGGTGGTAGAGGTGGTAGTGGCGGGGGCTAAATCAATGATTTTTTGTTCAAGTTATGGTAGTGGTGGTGGCAGATGTGATGGAGATGGTGGTGGCAATGAGAGTGGTTGAAGTTGTAGTCTTGTAGATTAGTGGCAATGGCGGTGTTGGTGTTGGTGGTGATCGTGATGGTGGCGACTGCGACGATGATAGTAGGTTTGAGAATTTTTTGGTTGGTCATGGTGGTGTGGTGTGGTAGAGATGGGGGACTGTTGGTGATGTAGTGGAAAAAGTGGTAGTGGCAGGGTGAAACCACCAATTTTTTGTTCAGGTGATGGTGGTGCTAGAGGCAATGGTGAGATGGTCATCACAAGTGTTGGTGATAGTTACAAATTATTTGGTTGATTGTGATCATTAAATTGATTAATTCGTGATCAATAAACAATATATGACCAATGAAAAAGATAAATTATGACTAAGAAATAGTGTGTGACCTAAAAAATTGTTAATTTATGATCGATAGTTTAATAATATATGACTGTATAATAAGTTATAACTTATAATATTTATGATTTGTAATCGATAAATAAATTATAACTCGTAATTTTTTTATTTGTGACCAATGAACATATTCTAACCTATAAAATTTTTGAATTGTGATTATAAAATAATATGTGATATATAAAAATTTTGATTTGTGATAGAAAAATAATATGTGACTAATTAAATCGTTAATTTATGATCAAATTATATATATATATATATATATTTGTGACCTTAAAATATTTAATTAATTAAATTCATTAAATCATAAATAAATTTTAATAAAAATCTGATTTTTGAAATTTGAAACATTTTGTTCTTAGTTTTATAATGAATTTTTCCCTCAATGGGGAAGAGGAAATGGTCGACGGTTGGGCAATGGGCAAGTTCAGTTCATTGTATTTAAAGATTTACATGTTTGAAGAACTTTGTGGTTGAAAATCCTTGGTGACAGCTCGTTTTCTACCAACCGGAGTTATAGATTTCAAGTCACATATCTTCATTTGTTCTTATGATTGGTTCGAATTTTGCATTCCATGCTTGGCAAAACTCGAATTCAGGCAACTGCGTATATGTTTCATGCAGATTTCAGTGTGTTCTTGGTGCTTGGATTTTCCATTTTGGGCAAAGAATTCAAATTGTCTCCCCTCTGCTCCCCATTTTTTTAAAATTTCACTAACCTAAACCGTTTTGGAATAATCAGGCTGTCACAGAAAATTCAATTTTCGGCGAAGTTCTGGAAATATTCAAATTCATCCTTACTTGAATTTTGAATTTTTCAACAAATTTTTCCAGCTATATCCAGCCTGAGCCACTGCAACTTGTATTTTGCATTCTACCTGTAAGGATTTCCGCAAGTTTTGATTTGCCATTCAAGTTTCACTATTATATTACCCGATTTGGCAAAAGAATCAACCGAGAAGAAGGATAAAAAGAGGGTGGCTCTCCTTTTTATATCATCATAAAGATTGCTTGCTTAGATCTTTCTATCTTTTGTAATTGTTGATTTGCATGAGTTTTTGTTTTTTTTTTCTTTTTTTTCTTGCTTTGGGTCATTAGTCCAATTTTAATGTTTATTTTGTGATCCCGAAAATGCCCATGATAGTTATACTCAATTCTTTATCAATATAATTTATTTATCCGAATAAAAAAATAACATATAAAAAAACAATAAAACTATTTGCACATTCAAGATTGACACCTCGGATGACACTCCCCTGACAAGAGAGGAGGGCCCACGCACAATAAAATAATTGCGGATCCCCCTCTTGTGAGGGGAGTGTCATCCGGAGTGTCAACCCCGGATGTACAAATAGCGAAGTCCATGAAAAAAGGGGGCTACGGTTGAAATTGTTTCGGAATGATGGACACTTTCAAGAATTGCATATGTCATTCATGCACAGGCGCTATACCCCGGATGTACAAATAGCGAAGTTCATGAAAAAAGGGGGCTACGGTTGAAATTGTTTCGGAATGATGGACACTTTCTAGAATTGCATGTGTCATTCATGCGCAGGCGCTATTTTGATCTTGCATTATTGTTTGTATGGATTGCACAAGTCAGAAGATTATGCCCCATTTGGATCTCAGTTAATTTCTCGATGACGCACGAGAGAGTAGTAATAATTAGGAATGACAAGTAGCAAGTAGGATTGACAGAATTTGTTTATAATATGGCTTACTGAAGAATCCGAACCAGCCTCAAATTTGAAAAGAATAACAAGAAATGTTTGTAAAAAAGCAAGCAAGGCGCGTCACTTCTAAATGAGAGTGAAACATTGTAACAAAACGTGGGAAAAAATTAAGAGTTTTATTACTTGCACATCAAAATTGTAACATAATATGATGTGGTGGAAAAAAATTGAATTAAAACATTAATTGTGTTTTAAATCGACAAATTGTAAAATGTCATATGACACTATGTAACTCTTAGGGTCCATTTAATTGCAAAGGTGGAATTTGAGTGGAAAGAAAATGAATTTTAAAGATTTGAATTGATGGAAAATTGTTTTCTTGAGAATTGTAAATTATTGTGTTTGATTGGTATAATTTTCCACGTGAAAAATGTTTAAATTAAAGTGTTTTTTGATGTCCGTTTGACATTATTTTACATGAAAATTGTCAATTAAAGGGATAGAATTTACTAGTATTGGGGATGAAATTCGTTTCCATTGCCAAAACAAAAAAAAAACAAAAATTTCAAAAAAATCATCTATCTTTTTATGTTCGTTTGGCTTTGTTTTATATGAAAATTGTCAATTAAAGAAAAATATTTTTTTACAATAATTCTTAGAATTTGTCTTCACTGCCAAAGAAAAAAAAACGCTACAGTAGTCTAGAATTGCAATTCTCACCAGGGTGAGAATTGCAATTCCGTCATTTGGTGGAATTATTTTGAGAATTGCAATTTCTTCATTTGGTGGAATTGGGCTGATGTGGCACAAAACATGGAAATGCAATTCTAGACCATTAAAATGCTATCACACACCATTAAATTAGAAAGTGAAATTCCAATTACATTTTCCATGAAATTCCACATCCAATCAAACCTACCTTAATATACATGTAAATGCTACCTTTACATATTCTTTTACATCATCATTTACCCTTTACCACGTAATAAACCATTGAACAATTAAAAAATAAACAATTTTCCTTTCAATCCTTTTTTTCACAGCACATCAAATGTCAAACTAAGTGTACACTTTTAGCAATTCTGAAAATTAAATTGACGGCAAAACAAAAGGAAATGGACCTCGAAAGTGGGATTTGCAGGTCGTTGTCTTAGTCCCACAAAATACTAAGCCTCGTTTTGCTTCCATTAATTTCTATTACATTTCATTACATTTTTCTCTCTTCTATTTTTAACCACGGAATCTTACATAAAATAATATTACATGTAAATAAATAAATAAAAAAAATTTCTCAACCACTTTTTTTCAAAAAAATACAATTCCACCCATTTTTAATTCTACAAAATGAGGGCCAAACGTGGGCTAAAGGACATTTCAAATGCGCTGGTACGATATTAATAAAAAGTTGCAGACATAAATTAAAATCAAGTTAACATCCCATTATTTAACAGACGATATATCGTGATACATCATTTACAAGCGTCAAATTTCACCTTACAAGAGGAAAATCAATGAAGAATCAAATTAGTCAGATTAAAGATTTATTTAGGCCCTGTTTAACACCCATTATTTGAAAAATTAAAAAGTTTTGAATAGTATTTTTGGTGAATGTCTTTAAAAAATAAGGAAACTTCATTGATTTGCATGTAAAATATTTTATTGTGTAAATGTACAGTTGAGAATGATAATATAGCCAACAACTTAAATTATTAAAGGTTGTCAAACAGGGGCATAAAAAGAAATTAGCCCTCACTATAGCTGCACAAACAGAGTATCATCTAGAAAGGCAGATTCTAAAGTTCATGACTTCATTCCCAACTAATAATCAATCCACAAAATCAAACCATCTCCTCATACCCGGGGGAGAATGAGGTGGTAAACTAAACAACCATATTTAAAAAAAAAAAAAAAAAAAAAAAAAAAAAAAAAAAAGGACTTCGAAAATATTACTCCAATACCGCTCTTCAAATGGCACATTCCAGTTCACAAGTCTTGCACACTCAAACCTAAAAAAAAGTGTCAAAATTACAGGGGTTAAAAAAAACACTTCACGATAATCAAATACATTAAAAATACAGAAAGGAGAATGTGTGGTTAAAAAGAAAAAAAATTAGGTTCACGTGCAAATTCTTTTATTGGTAAAATTTGTGGTTGAAAAATAAGTTCAGAAAAAAATAAAAATAAATTCAGTTTTTGGATAATGGGGCTCAATCAAGAGCTAAGCATCAAACTTCCAAGAGAGGTTAAGTTCATAAATCAAATAACCTGGGGGAAGGGATTGCTTCAACTTGTCAGCCTTCTCAGGATCAAAGACGCAAAGGGTGTAGAGGTACTTTGAGCACCGAACCTTGAACTTCACCACATCCTTGCTCTTCTTGATCTTTACAGAGCGTGCGTCCTTCCTTCTGGCAGTGAGAAGGAAATCCTTAATCTCATGAATTTGCTTCGGCTGAGCATCATAAAAATAAATAAATAAACAAAGGGGTAAGTAAAATAAGAGGCAAAATCCCCGAAAAGTTTCCATTAATTTAGAACAACTAAGCGATCGGATGGAAACCAGAACAAATGCAATTACAGGACAACAAGCACAAGAACCAATAAAAGACATGGTCTTTTCCACACGTGAAACAAAATAAAACTTTACTAGCTTGTTCAGATAACTGATTTGTTTCAAATAGTGAGAAAAGGTGGCAATGGACAGGACAACTTTGTAGGTGAACTTGCATAAAATATTTTAAAAGTTGCAACGTGCAAAAACACAGATACACATTATGTGACAGGGACGTGTATTAATGGCAAGAAAAAGATTTTAAATTGAAACTAGCAATCTGAGAAAATTTCCACTAACCCAGTTTGGTTCCTAACTCAATCAGAATCAGAAAGAAATGAAGTACAAAAGTTAAAATTTCCAAATGTTCAATGACCAAAACAAGAAAATGTGCAGGGAGTAAATATACGAGCAAGAGCAAACGACTACATAACCTTGTGGTATTGGTAATTCAGTTTCCAAATTTAAGCTATAGATGAGACATCTTAGTCTCATTAAAAATCCAAACCCCATAAATGGGGCTCCATTTATTTTTCAATCTTGATTTGTTTCTCTTTTGCTAAGTTCAAACTAAAAGCTGTACATTAGTGGTGAACTGGTGATAGAAAATGAGGTAAATTATTCTCCCTCTCTCTCTAAATATACCATTAAAGACCAGGGGCTTAATAAGTCACTCGTATAAGCTTAAAATTTTATTTTTTTTTTCCAATTTTTCAAAAAAAAAAAATGAAAATAATATAAAAGTTATGCCCATTCCGAAGTAGCTGTTTCCCTCAAACTAAATACAGTCATTTTGAACAAGTTTCCTTATAAGTGCACCAGTGCCTGAATCAAGAAACTCATAAAGTACAATTCAGTTACATGAGGAAAAAAGGGGATACAAACTATTATACCCAAACGCGAAACCAAAAAAATAAAAAATAAAAAGATCCCAAACTTTGTTATCCACAACCCAGAAATTAATGAGGTTCAAACACGAGAATGAGCAAAACAACACACTTAAAAATGGCAAGCGTTGACTCTTCATCCAATATAATCTAATCCAGAGATCGTCAAATCAAATTAAACACACTACTAGCATAATCTGTGTTTAGCGAGAGAAGGAGAGACAATACCATTATGGAGATAGACGCCAGGGAAGAAGAGGAGGCAGATTCGAAAACCCTGGTTCCGTGGCAATGAAAGGTTATGACACAGTATTATATAGTGGGTTTTGTTGTGGGCTGTGCATTGGGTCTGAATTGATTAAAGATCTGGTTAAAAGTCTCGTACTCGGCCCACTAATATAATTCGTACTTCAAAATTTAAAGGGAAAATTCCAAAATTCCAAGTGTTTAAAGATTAGATTTCGGGATGAAGTTTCATTGTGTATAAATCAGGTCTCAAAAAGATAAAACCTATTTCATTAATTTGCCCAACTCTCTCTCTCCCCCCCCACCCAACATCTCTCTCCTCGTCTATCTCTCTTCCCCGGTAGTTCGAAACCACACTAAATTTGGCGACGCAGAGGTGCAATCAGTGCTTAGCGCAACCAGCGTCGATGCATTAGAGGAGCAATCGGCGCTTCCAAGGCACGGCATCAGAGGCGCAACTGGCCCTTCGCTCAACCCCAGTGTCGACGCCTCTGCCTGTAGACCCATGGTTTCGCCCATCACAGATCGTGATAATTCGTGGTCTCGTCGGCGCCATTGCATTTGCTTGTCTTTTGCGTGGATATGGTGACAGTGATGGCGTGGATGGAGGTAGATTTAACATGGAAGGTGTGGGGTTTTTTGTTGAGTCATGGGTGGTGGATTATGGAGTGGTGATGTCTCTGTTGTTGGCGGCGACGTAGATGGTAGAGGTGGCGGTGTTTTTGCTGGTTACGGTAGTCGCGGCTTTGAGGATTTTTTGGGTGGGGATTGTGGTTGTGGTGTGTTAGAGATGAAGGGCTGGTGGTAGTGTCGATGCCGTGGTTGAATTGTTGGTGGTGCAGGTGCTAGTGGCGATGTTGCTACAATAATGATAAGCTGGTGCGTGGTTTCAAAAGTGTCGATAGTGGTTGTGACCAATTACATACGTTGTTTAGTTGGTGCCGTCGAGGTGGCGATTTTGGTAGTGTGTTGGTTTGTTTTTGTCAAGATGTGGTGGCGACTATAGTGTTGGCTGATGTGCAACTGTTGGAAGCAGTGGAGAGGGGTGGTCGCGAAGTGTTGACAGTGACCACCAAAGTCGGGTATTTGGTGCATGTGACCAACTATTTGGTTCCCTGTGACTGACCATCAATTTGTGACCTTGAAATTCAATCATTTTGTAACTAAACAAATAATCTGTAACAATCAAATTTGAAAACATGTGACCTATGACCTGTAATTTTTTGGATTTGTGATCATTTGTGACGTAATTTTTTGATTCTTGATTTTGAAATAATCTATGACCTATCAAAATTTTGATTCATGACCTCGAAAAAATTCGTGATCAATTAATTTGATGATATGTGACCTATAATTGTAAATCTGTAACCATTAATCGTATAACTGTGAGTTTATTATCATTATTTAATAAATATTTTTAATTAATTAGCTAAAACCTGATTTTTACATTAATGAAACTTGTAACCTGAATTGTGATTTCTTCCCAAATTTAAATGTTTATTTAGTCCACATTTGGCTCGCGTTTATAAAGGGAAATTTGGCTCAATAGCCTAACTTAACAATGTATTTGGTTAAATGCATTTGACCAATAATAAAAACAAATAGAAAAATGCAAAATATTTTAGTTAGCAAAATGATAAAATTCTCTTTTAGTTTTTCTCATTTCATCCTATCATTTCTCCTATAAATTTACCTTAAAACCTTAATTTTTTTATAATAACGTCTTCTTCTTCCCATTTTCATCTTCTTCAATTTTTTGTCCTCAAAATTACAATCATCTATTTTTTTTCTCTTCAATCACCATTCTTGCTATCCTAATATTATGTTATTTGTTATATTCTTTACTTATTTTGGGTATCTTTTGAGAGAAGAAAGATGCTCTTAGAAATCGCATCTATGTTTTATTTTTTATAATTAAACAATATTTAGTTGATATTATTTTCGTATTTAGTGTGCTTTTTGTATTATATGCAACCATTAGATGTAATAGCACTCCAACTGCTATTCGAAACACAGAACACTACTCCAGCCATTATCTATAAAGTAAAACTACACTACAATCATTGTCTGCTGTAATTTGATTTTTTCAATAAAATGACATCTAATAATGGATTCGCTAACATATATAATACAAAAAGATTGACTAGTCACAAAAAACGATTGAAATGATATATTTTATATTATTAAGATAGTAAAAGCACAAATCATCACACTCATATGTGTCGATTAAGTTAATGAACATATCTATCAACTTTTGTACGTGTCATGTACATATTATAATATAAATAAGTTTCATTTATTATTTTTAGGGAACAAACGGACCATAAGTACTTATACTCGTATTTATGCACGTAATAGCACAAGTGCTGTTTTCATGTCCAGTAACGACACTTGTGTCGTTCCAAAAGTTTCACTTATATCCGATTTTTTCAACAAAACAATATTTAATAATGAACTCCCTAACTTATGTTACTGACATTAAAATGTTTATACTTCATTAGGGAGTCCAACGTTTGAAATCGTTGTGCTAGAATAAAACCAAAATATAGGAGAAATCAATAGAACGACACAATAGTCATTACTGAAATGAAAACGACAATTTCATATTCTATCTATAAATATGAGTTGAGAAATCATTGTGCTAGAATAAAATCAAATGGCACAACTGCCGTTATGATTGTAAATTTACTTGTCCATGAGAACGACACTTGTGCGCTACTAAGATGATAAAGTCTATAAGAACATAACAGCTATCATTATGCTTGTAAATATATTTGTCTATGAAAATGGCACTTGTGTTATTGTTGAGAAGAAAAGTCTCTGAAAATGTTATTAGCGTCGTTACTGGAATTAAAAGTTCTAAGAGAACGATACAAGTGACGTTATCAAAATATAAACTTCTATTATTACTGTGAAAACAACACAACTTAAGGTGTTCAATTCTAAAAGTAGTAGCTTTGAAAACAAACGAAAATAAAAGAGAAAACAATAGAACAGCTTGAGTGCTATTATTGATAATAAAACGGCACTTTTGCCATTCTATCTATAATTACGAGTTTAAGTAGCCACGATCGTCCTTGACTCAAGAAATAATAAGTTGAATTCAATTAAGTTGCAAGGTGGACATGACATTTAAAAATTTTAAGAGATATGCTCATTACTTTTATTTTGTTGAAAATAATAGAATCACTTGTAATTTCAACAAATTTATATCAAATAAATTACATCATTTCAATTGTTCTTTGTCACGTGATTTATTTTTCTCTCGTACTTTACAGATCCAATGCTTGAGGATGAAAGGTCATTGAGAACGACACTTGTGCTGTTATTGAAATGAAACATTCTTAGAGAATGAAACAAGTGCCACTTAGAGGATGAAAAGGTCATTAAAAACGACACTTCTGTTGTTACTGAGATGAAAAGTTCTAAAAGAACGACACAAGTGCCGCTATCGAAATTAATTTCTCTAAGAAAACGGCACTTGTGCTGTTAGTGTAGAGAAAACAACACTTGTGTCATTCTATCTATAAACATGAGTATAGATAATCCCAAAACTCATTTCAGCTGCAAGATGGATTTGCCGTTTACAAAAATGGAGAGATGTGCTCATTAATTATATTTTTTACGAATCAATACAATGACTTATGATTTCACCAACTCGATATTGTATAACTTATGTCAATTCAACCGTTCTTTATTACGTGATCAATCTTTCTAATATTCTTAAGTTAGTGGATCCATGTTTGAGGTCGCTGCATTGGAAAAGAAGAAAAATATTTGAGAAATCAACAGAATAACACAAGGGCTATTAAATGACATTTGTGTCGTTCTGTCTATAAACACGAGTATACGTAGCCACGATCCATCCTTTTCTCGAAAATCAATAAGTTGAACTCATTTCAATTGTAATATGAACATTTCGTTTACAATAGTTGAGATATGTGCTCATTGATTATATTTTTTAACAAATCAATACAATAACTTGTAATTTTACCAACTCAATGTCGTATAATCTATGTCAATTCAACCGTTCTTTGTCTCATGATTAACTTTTCTAACTTTCTTAACTTAAGAGATCTAATGTTTGAGGTTGCTACATTGGAAAAGAAACAAAACATTTGAAAAATCAACATAACGGCACAATAGCTATTAAATGACACTTCTGTCATTCTGTCTATAAATACAAGTATACGTAGCCACGGAGCATCCATACCCCGAGAATCAATAAGTTGAACTCATTTCAATTGAAATATGAACATTCTATTTACAAAAAGTTGAAAGATGTGCTCATTGATTATATTTTCTAACGAATCATACAATAACTTGTGATTTCACCGACTCAATGTCGTATAATTTATGTCAATTCAATCGTTCTTTGTTACTTGATCAATCTTTCTAACTTTCTTAAGTTAGGGGATCCATGTTTGAGGTCGCTGTGTTGAAAAAGAAGCAAAATATTTGATAAATCAACCGAACGACACAAAAGTTGTTAAACGACACTTGTGTCGTTCTGTCTATAAATACGAGTATACGTAGCCACAACCTGTTCACAACTCCGAGAACCAATAAGTTGAACTCATTTAGGTTGTAAGATGAACATGAAATTTATAAAAGTCGAGAGATATACTTATTATTTATATTTTAATTAACCAGTAGAATAACTTATGCTTTCACCAACTCGATATCACATTATCTATGTCATTTTAATCGTTCTTTATCATGTGAATAACCTTTTCATTTTATTTACGTTAGAGGGTCCAATGCTTGATGTCTTTGCCTTGAAAATAAATCAAAATATTGGAGAATTCAACTGAATAACATAAGTGCCTTTATTGAGAAGAAAACAATCTTTTTATCGTTCTATTTGTAAACACAAACACAACCAATCATGCCCCATTCGTGTCTCAATAAATAATAAGTGAAACTTATTTACATTGCAATATGCGAATGAAATGTACAAAGGTTAAGTAATATGTTTATTAATTTAATCGACGCATATATGTAGAATGACTTGTGCTTTCACCTTTTCGATAATATAAAAGCTATGTCTTTTCAACTGTTCTTTATGATATTGTCAACATT